ATAAAATTAAATATTAATATAAAATTAAGATTATTTTTAAGAAATATTTAGTAGCTTTACTTTTTATTTTTATTTTAAGTATTAAAAATATAAGTTTTAGTAGTAAATAATAAAAAATATTATCCTATTTTATTTTTTAAATAAATAATATAAATATTTTTATATATAATAACTAAAGTCAGAAAGTAGTTTAATAAAAAAACATAGTTTTATTTCTTTTAATAGCTCTAAAAATATTATTCTAAAATATTAAAATAAATATAAAATTTATACAGATGTTAATTATTTTTTATTAGATTCTTTCTAACTAGCTTATAATATCGGATTCAAAGATAGCAGTATTTTAAATTAAAAATAAGATTTATTTTAAAAAATATAAATTATAAATAGCTGATATTTTTTTATTTTAATAATAGTTTATTATAATAATAATACTATTTTCTATTAATAAGTCGTATTTATATAACTTATAATCTTATATATTTTATAATAATTAATACTAAGTTTAGCAGATACTTCTTAAAAATTATAATTCAGATTATAAAACTATTTTTATTATTTTTAAATATTAAAGAAAAGTTTAGACTAGAAAATATTCTTAATTTTAATATTTATTTTAGAGTTATATAAAAGAGATAAAATTTCTGCTAATAATTTAATATTAATTTAATATTATTTTACTAAATTTCTTTTCATAATTTAGTAGTTTAATACTATAAATACTAATAGTTTTATAAATAGCTGATTATATTTCTAACCGCGGTAAGATTCTTTAAAAAATATAAGATTATTAAAAATAACAATTTCTTAAAAATAAAAGAACTTTTTGATTTAAAGTTGCTATTCTAATATAATTATTAAAATAATATATTATATTTTATAAATAAACATTAAAATAATATACTATAATCTATAAATAACTAAAAAAAGAATTAGAATTATTAAAAAACATTAATCAGATATAGAATAGTAGCAGTTTGGTTATATTAAAACTAATTCTTATCTTTCTATAGTCTAGCAAGATAATAGAAGATTAGATATAAAAGAATTTAGAGTTATTAATAAGAGTTATATATAATATATATAACAGATCTGTAGATAGCTCGCTGAGATCTCAAAGAATTTCTATAACACTATTTATATTTTTTGAGTAGAATTAAAACTAAAAAAATTAATCTTAGCCTATTTTATTCTTTTATATTATTTTTTTAAACTATAATTTCTAAATTTAAACAGATTTTTTTCTTTTTTAGAATATTAGTTAGTAAGATATTTAGTATTATTATATAAAAAATATTAGAATAGCTTTTAAGTAAGATTAGAATAATTTAGTTTAAAAACTATATATTATATATTCTTATAAAATTATAATTATTTGTAAAAAATATTAAATAGATTAGATTTTGATTTCTGTTTTTATTACTGAATATGTAAATTCTAATAATAAATATTAATAAATATTATCTTATTATATTTTCTAGGATAATTAATATATATTTTTCTTAATACCGCAGCTGAAATTAGATAGTAGTGTTATAAAGAAGATATAATTTTATTTTTTTAATAATTTTAAAAGAATATTATTCAAGAGTATTAAAATAAGTATAGAATTTATATAAATTTTAATTATTTTTTTACTAGGCTCTTTCTAATTGGCTTGTAATATCGGATTTAAAAATAACTATATTTTAAATAAATAAAAATTAATTTAGTAAAAATATATCAAAAAGTAACTAATATATTTTTAAATTCTAGTACTAATTTATTAAAATAAAAATATTATTTTTATTAGTAAGTTGGACTTATACAGCTAACAGCTTCGAAAACCTTATAATAATTACTATAAAATTTTAACAAGACTTTTTAAAAAATATAATTAAAATTATAAATCTATTTCTAATATTTCTAAATATTAAAAAAAAGTTTAAATTATAGAATATCTTTAATCTTAATATTTATTCTAGATTTACTTAATAAAAAAGAATTTCTTATACTTAATTTATTATCAGTTTCATTTTTTTGTTAGATTTTTTATTATAATTTAATAAATTATTTACAGCTGCTGATAATCTTTTATTAAACTAATAATATTTTAAATTATAGTAAGATTTTTTATAAAAAGGTTTTAAGATAATAAAAAATAAACTATTAGTTATAATAAAATCTTTTAACTTTGAATTACTATCTTCTTGAAACTGTTATTAAAATATATTATATTTTATAAATAACTAAAGAAGAAGAACTAGAATTATAAAAATAAAAAAAAGATTAGTTAGATATAAAATAATAGCAGGTTTTTATTTTAAAACTAGTTCTTACTATTTTCTAGATATAGTAAGATTCTAAAGATTTTAAGTATTAGAATAACTAGAAGTTGTAAATAATACAACTCCTTCGGTAGAAGTATAAAGATAATCTATTAGAAATACTATAGAGCTTTGGGGATTACCTATAACATAAGTCTGCTACTAGTTCTATAAGTAAGCCTGCTACTAGTTTTATATATAAGCCTGCTACCAGTTCTGCGTGCAAGTCTGCTACTGGTTCTATAAGATAGCCCAGTCTATCTTTTAGCAATCCGAGCAAAGCAAGGATCACCTAGACTTTATAATATATAGTTAATATTCATTTATTTTATCTATTTCTTTGGTTTTTTGTTTTTAATATACTTTAGGATATAGTACTATTTTATATATTTACGTTCTTTAACAGCTTATTTTTTATTTTTATATTTTTATACTCTAGTGTCTTTATATATATAATATCTAATTATTTATGATGTTGTAAATATTTGTTTTGAAGCCCAGTATATATTATTGTATATTCAAATATAATAATATTCTGCTATTTAGTTATATAGCTGTCTTTTATACCGCCCGAAGAGTAGAACTTTAGAATAATTTAATCTTTTTTATCTTTTATAATTTCTAATAATCTTTATATTATACAGAATAATTAATTATATCAAGTTCTTAAGCCATAATTAAATTATTATCATATATATTTAAAATATTTTTCCGGCAATTTATATATAAATAAAAATTATAATTATTATAATAAATATATAATAGTAATATAAATAATATGTTATAATATTTCTGGTACTTATAATATTTTACATAAAAAATATACTATTCTTATGTCTCGCAAAATATAATACTGCTATAACTATATTAAGCCTGTAACTATTGCACAACCATTGCAAGCAACCCCCCCTTTCCGGCAAGGTTAGGGCATGTGCCCTTCGAAATTGGAAGGCTTTCTCCTTGCTACCTTTGGTTGGCCGTCATATAGTCACATGTGAGCGACAGAATTGAATGGCAGTGTCCAGCTAGCCAACGCCATCCAGAAAACCTCAACCGATCCATAGCAACTATCAGCTCATCTAGTAACTAGTAGTCAATCATGGATGCTGTAGTTACGTGCCCGCAGTACCCATACCACCATATCGAACTACTCCAGCTCTGTCGAGTAGAACACGAGATGACGTCACAATAGAAAAATGGCTTCTCAGTTACCTACCTACTTGAGTAGCTACGGAGGGTACTAGTTTTATCCACTATGCCCAAGGTGGTGCTAACCTATCATCTCTGACCAGGATCCATCCCTCTCAAAAGTGTCTTTTGCTCATGACGACGTCACTGCTCACCTCGTCACTGGTCTCTTACCAGAATGACGACAACGGCATGTGACCCCTTCGGATCTGGGGAGCTTCATAAAGCGACGTTATCCCCTTGATTCTATCACTGTCAAAACCAATTACCATCAGCATCAAAGACTACAGATACTCGTTCTCTGAAGACGATCCCGAAGCGTACCACAGCCAGCGAAATGACGACCCTCAATTGTGAGTGTTATCCTTGAGGTTACACCCATCCCACTCCATCCTGGCAACTTCACAAAGACTTATTGCTCGAGCCTTATTTTAACCTAGAACCATTAGACTTGCCATCCGTGAAGCCGTCCGCAATCGCAGTCGGCGCGATCTTCACGCACACTGCTTCACTAGGCATTCTCGCCCCAGTCTTTGGCGATACTTACCATCGTGCCCAAGCTGCCAATTCAAAGGAAGAGTTCTTCAAGTCTAAGGAGGCTGCTGGTGCTGCAGCGGCCTGGGGTAGCTCTCTGGTTGGCAGTGCTGTACAGACCTACGGCGTGGCGGCATTGATCAATGCAACGGGGACCCTTAGTTATAAGGGTGCAGCCTATCTGGGAAGTTTGATCTTTATGGCCAGTGCAGCTCCAAGTGTAAGTCTATTGATGATATCGCATGCTACGACTTTGGTCTAATTGATTGTGATCGTTCCAGGTCATCAGCCAGATCTTCACAGAGAAACGCCCCCTCGACACAGTGGCAGTGGGCGCTGTCGGCAGGGTCTTTGAGACAGTAGGACTCAGTCTATTCCTTACCTGGTGGGGCACGCGTACCAACCCTTTCGCGTGAGGAATAAATGGGATGAAACTCAGTACCACATTTGATTCTTGTGTCTTTGCGTTATGTGCAGTTGAATAAGATACGATATTGTTCTAGCTTCAAGAATAATCAAATTTCCGTAATCATCAAATTGGCTTGGCGAAACCGACTTTTCTGGAACTTGTAATCGTTAGTGGAACTTGTAATCGTTAGTAAATTGTGTTTGAAGCGTTAGAAAAGCCCAGGGTAATCTTTGATGACGTGGGCAAACAAGGCAACGATATTATTATGTTACCCTAGTTCCGAGTCGTGACCTGATTTTAACCGAGGACCTCGACCGATTCGAACGGCATTGGGGGCAATTATCTGAACCTGAAGCTACAGTTGAGAGAGCCACTTGCTCCGTGCAGCAAGTAGCTAATGGTTCGAAGTTCAGCTACCTGTGGCCCTCGAGCGCGCTTTCTCATTTACCCTCCAAGTCACGCAAATATTGAAATATCCAACACGCGACCTTGCTCACATCACAGTGTTACATACGTTACAACTGTTGAGTTGAAGTTGTACGAGGAAGCCCGAAGGCGTAAATGGAGACAGATGCTGATAAATAGTGATTGCATGTCTACTTCTATATAATCAAACAAAAGTGCGACAGGGATACCTTGCAGAGTGTCAGTGATTATTATTAATATAGAGTGAGATAGAACTTACACTCCAGGATAGCCATGCTGATGATCCAGCTGGTATTTGGAAGCCGAAGAATTCAAGCTGCAAGGCAAGGGTGGCAAACCATTTGCATTCAAGACACCTCTAGCCCCCTCCTTATCTTTCCCGAAAAGCCCGGCAAGGCCGCGCTCCTCTCCCTGTTGCTTGACCGATACCAGCTGTCTTTTACCTGCTTCACCAAGCTCCAAAACTTCCTTTGGTGCTGCCTCACTGCCTACGGTAAGAAGACCAACAACGTCGGCCTGATTCACCGTACTGAGTCTAGGATAGTTTCTCCGAGCATCGCGCTTCCAGTAAGGGTTATCGGCGATGTCACCCGCTGGAACTGTGATAGGGTCGTCATAGGACAGAGGTGGAAGAGATCCTGGAGCCGGCAGGCGGAATTGGGAGTTCAATGGAACGCCAGTAGAGCGACTAGGATCAATGGACAGAAGGCGACGGATACGCTCCCATACGCCAGTCGACTGAACAGTGTATTTCTGAGTAACGCATTAGTGTATACAGAAGTGTATAGTCATTCTTTGACGACCAACCTTGTGAACAGCTATCACATTTGATGCCGACTTGGCCGCTTTAACTATGTCGCGAGCCATGGTGGTTTCTATTGATTATGAGTATGTGAAACTTCGATTAAATAAAGCCTTCACTGCAAGATGCTGAGACACAGCGCAGCACATGGTCTTTCATACCTCACCTTTTGAGATCTATATTTCCGCAAAGAGTCGTCCCTCTGGAATCGCTGGCTCGCTGTCAGTAGCAATCGAACTGTCCGGCGGAGGCCTTCCCGGGAGGTCGAGTCGTGCGGAACAACAGTATTTCCGAGAGCAATGGATGAATAGCATTGATCTAATTGTAAGCATATGCATCCCGAACAAACTGAAGCTAATTTCTTGGAACAACACTCGAGGAGTCGAGGGGTCCTTGGTTCACAACCTTCGGGATCATTATGACTTCCATTTCTGTGATTACACATCTATTCTCCCGTCCAAGCATGATCAAAGCTTCTTTATGCAGTAATTTCAACCTCCCAACTCTGGTCTGTAGCCGGTGAGGAATGGGGTACCAATAGGCTTGTCTAGGGACAATAGTACATTTACGTCTACCAAGGAATATCGCGTGAATACTCCACATCAATTGCCGGCCAACCATCACTTGTTGGAATTTTGTAATACATCCATGTCTATCTCCTTCCATTGTGGCAGATCTGCGAGAGAAGATGCAGCTCTAAGGACTTTCCCGTTTCTCCTCCTTCGAGGCAATAACGACTTGTCGCGCAGCCTCGACTGTTGCATCGGGACCACCCCTTTGATGTAGGAGAACTTCACCCAGCTTGCTTACAGCGAAGACCCCCCTTGTTGTTCCTTTTGGCATTTTCTTGAATCCAAGAGCAGCTATAAGTGTATAGGAGGAATTGCACAGGAGAGGAAAAGGCAACTTCTGCTTAGACTTGAAAGTGGTGTTTGCTTTGGGCGAATCCGCTGAAAGACCGTATACTGACATCCCACTTGAAGTTAGGGATTCATAATTGTCACGGAAAAGACAGGCTTGCTTGGTACCTAGGGCAGAGTGAGTCCATAGTTAGGAAGAGCTAGTGTGTCATGTCGAGGTAACCAAAAAGGAGAAATAAAACAGAATGACGAAGATAGATGGTACAGTGCATGGATGCATCATGTATGGATTGGGGCAAGCCAAAGGAGCTGAGAGAACAGAATTGGGTCTCAGTTAAACCTACATCCAGGGGTAGACGCTCTGGGATATGTGAATAACACAACACCGGACTTGCTACTGTCGACGAGATCCTTCAATCTGAGTTTCGTCCCATCATGATTTTCAAATTCACCACCAAATTGGTTCAAATCGAGGGTCTCTCCAACTTTCGGGGATCCATGGTGGGCATCGCTAGACGCGTCGGCAAGAGAGCCGCCAGCCTTGACTTTTTTAGGCCCTCTCTTCGAGGCTGGGTCGAGATCGAGAATGCGCTTGCTCTTTTGTTCTGTTTCGAGGGGTTGTGTTGTCGCTTTACGCTTCCTCAACTCGACCATTGCGATACTGTGACTTCTTAATAATGTGAATACTGTAAATGTGATGGCGCAAATGAACAAAATGAGTTGAAATACTTTGAAGGCAGTAGTCTGTGGTTGCAGTTGCACTCTCGCACAACACAGTAATCAAGCGGTAGGTGAGACTTCGCCGGGCTTTCATCCTTGTCCTTGAATGCCGTCACTTCGCTAACCCCCACCGGGTAGGTATAGTCAGTCCCAATAAGTAGTCAACAATCATGTTTTCAGAAGTTATTATGACCCGGACAGGTGATAATATAACTATAAATATCAAAATACAGGTTCTTGCAATGCTACAGTCTTGCTCTGTACTGTAGTCGAGGAAGTTTCCAGCATATACAGCTTAATCAGAAAGGCATCACTTTAAGAGATCGGTCTTGTGAATCGATATTGTAGAGACTCTACCCCAGGTTTGCTGGAGATAAGAATCATATTGAAGTGGAAGACTTGCTTATCTTAACGCAAACCAGGATTTTCTTGGGCTGTAACCCCTGCTTCGGCCTGTAGTCTTATCATATTTATTTTTGATTAAACCTATTATTATACGCTCTCTGTGTTATGCTTAAGAGGTGCTTATCCTGATGGGGAAGTGTAGCTAGTCGCAAATACTGATAAAGAATAAGCTATATTGTGTGTTTATAGTCTCTTTTATTAGTAGTTGAGCTAGCACCAGCAGTTCCTGCTCGAGCACTTGTGGCACATAGAAGCTACTCAGTAATATGTAGGTGCTGTCCTCGTAGAAGGCCCTGTTGAAGAAATCTGCTGCAAGCTGGGCTTTATGAGAATAGCTTCGACGGGGTCTTGGAGCCAATATGGTCCTATGCTAAATAGGCGATACTCGTATAACTATTTAAATCTGAATGACTAAAGCTATTCCAGACGAAGGAATGGTTGTCAGCGTTGCCAAGTAATCCGGCCACGTGATTTCAAAGGCCTTTTGTTCTTGTTCACATGAGGGAACGTAGCTAGTTCAAACAACCTCTGATGCCTCAAATCGCCGTCAAATGTTATCTGAGTTTCAAAGAAAAACACTGCAATTCATTGGCCTGAGAATGTCATCAATAATTCTTCTATGCAGAGCACTATCTTTTTTCTTGTCATCTTCACGGCGTACATTGCCACCAAAACTATAGAATATATGTTCATTATGGTATTAGAACACCAAAATACAGGGTGACCGAGGCTGCAATCAGCGCGGTTATAGCGTCTGGCTATATGTATTGTGATTGTTGGTTACAGGACTTACCGCGACTCGGCTTCAGCTTCTATACTTGAGTTTGTGCTTTTTCTTGCGAAGACTTGTTGCTAACTAGTTGCTTGTGCAGCAAGTAGTGAGCAGACCTGTTAAGGTTGACGACGGCCTTGCTATAAGCTAAATGCAAAGGTTAAGATTACTCTGCAATTATCAAGTGTGAATTCAGAATATAGTAGTGTATACCCCCATCTACCGTGCAAATCCAGAGTAAATGATCTCCTTTGGACAATCATTGAGCTATAGCAGGTGCAAGATGCCGAGATCTGGACCGAAACAATGATTCTGGCGGTTTTACAACCTGTAGAATGACCCATGCATATACAAGAATGAGTGGGGCGCCTTTTGGCCCCCCTTACGCGATCTATAGTGCTGGGTTCGAGTAGCCTGGGGCCGGCGACAGTACGAGTAAAATGGCTGCAGCAGATGCCGCAGCGGCGGAATAATACAGTGATGCCATATTATGAAAAAGAAAAAGATAGATATATATATATATATGAGAAAGATAGCACTTTAATCTCAAAATCTAATCCTCTCACTTAATTAACTTATGTTTGATTAACAATTAGAAATAGTATATGTCTCCTGGTATCTGTAAAACGAAATTATTTGTAAGATGGAGCTCGACCCTTCTCTGACAAGGGATCAATGGCTATAAGTAACTACAGAGTACTAAGTAGTTATTCAATCTCAACGCGAAACGATGCACCCCCATTCTTTAAGACTTCGTCCTATGTGCCAATAAAGACTAGCCACAGATTCTCCCAGTGAAAATGCTGTTGATGTTCATATGAGCACATGGCCATACATATTTGTTTCGCAGAGCGGTCAGAGAGTGGTTGGATGGCAGTGACGTTTCTTTCCCAGGCCTGGGGGCTTTTGGTGCCTCTGCACTTGTGGGCTGCCATCGTTCGCCGTAGTTCGCTCACTTCTTTGATCATGCCGGGAAAGCCCGACCCTTGGCGCCACCCGGGGTTAGTCTACGAATGTAAAATTTCCAACTTCAACAATGTTCTACCGCATATAACTAATTCTTCAGTCATTACAAAGTTGTCGCCACATGCTCTTGTTCCAGTGCCTCCACCGTACCTCATCATCGGAAGGGGATTTTCTTTCTTTTCTTTCTATTTTTCCTACTTTTATCTTGATTGATTGGCCTTTGTAGTTATTATCCTTTGCCACCTCTTCGTAGTGGTCGGGGTGCTTATTAGAATCTCACCCGCCCTTCTCGCTGTTTGACTGTTGTCGTCGCCGCAGTGTCCTACACACGTTCTTGTGCACTGGATCTCGAAACACGGCCCAATTTTGTCCACTCGAGAACTGGAGTCAAAGCCTGGCCCCGCCGTCTCCTTTCCGTCATGAAGGTCTTTTCTTCATCATGCACATTTGATTATTCGTGGGAGGAGGTATCGACCGCAAATTGGCGCAAGTACTGCCCTTGGAATGACAAGTCCACACATGTCGTGGCAGTAGACACTCTTTCTCGAAGCGTGGATATGCAAACCGGTATAGTATGTGCCTTGGTCCCATTGATCCGGCTTCAGATTGAACCAGTATCACTAATGCCTTGGTCTCGTCTCAGCTGCGCACCGAACGTTTGATCACCTGTAATCAGTCCGTGCCACAATGGGTACTCTCACTATTTGGAGGCAGCGCTACGTCTCATGTATACGAAGTATCATATGTTGATCCAATTTCCAAAATGGTCACGATGTGCTCGACAAATCTCACGTGGTCGAATGTCCTCAGTGTCAGGGAAACCGTTGTCTACCAACCATCACTGCTGGATCCATCTTCAAGTACACAGTTCAGCCAAGAAGCGAAGATTACCGCTCTTTGTGGGGGTTGGCAGAAAATCAAGAACAAAGTCGAGGAGGCCAGTGTTGAACGCTTTAGTCAGAACGCGAAGCGAGGCCGAGAAGGATTTGAAGCTGTTCTGGAAATGAGTCGACGAGTCTTCAGTGAACAACGCGAGCACGACAAAAACCAACTCTGAATTGAGGTTCTCCTCGGCTTGACACATAGTCACCGGACACAGTCAACCATTATCTTTTCAAGCGTTTGCATATATATGGCGTTCCTTTGAGTTCTTTCCAGCGTCTCGACTTCAGGGAATCTTTCAGCTCCATTCTTGCGATTTACTCACCAGCCCTACATTTTCAAACCGCTGTCCCACCAGTGTTAGTGCTTGGACTCAAATGCCCACCCGCCATTGCAAAGTGAGCAGCTTATATGGCTTGATGATGCGTGACCTCTTCCCTACACAACAAAAGCAATAGAACGCTCTCCGGTCTACATTTCTCTGTGCTATTACAACTACTCATAATTGTCCGTTCTCACAAAGCGCATCCCTATGTATGATATTACAAGAATGAGCGGGGGGGCCTTTGGGCCCCCCTACACGATCTGTAGTGCTGGGTTTGAAGTGAGTGGCCGGCCCCAGCCTATGGCATAGGGCTTCGGCGACAGTAAAATAGCTGCGGCAGGTGCAGAATATCCGAAGCCGGTAAAAAGGTATCAAAAATAGAATCAGAGACCAAATAAGAGTATTACTTATATAAGAATAGATAGAGACCCTTTGCCCCCCCCCCACACAATGTATAATGCTGGGTACAAGATAAGTTGCTGATTTCAGTCTACAGTATAAAGCTTCAACAACAGTAAAATAGCTGCTGCAGCTACTCCAGCAATAGAATAAAACAATATTGGAATAAGTAAAAATAAAAGTAAAAATTAATCAAAAATATTCATTAGATAAAAATAAACAGAAGACTTTTTTGACTTTTTTAATATAATTTATAAAGCTGAATTCTTAGTATAAAACATTAATCATAGTATAGTAGCTGCGGCAGATGCTGTTAAACAATTCATTAAATGGTAGGTAGTTGTATTAAAAGGTAGTCCATAAAGACTAGAATAGCTAAAGACAGTAATAAGATAAACCGCAGTCACCATAACGCAGGTGACACCCCAGGCAGAAACAACAGTCACCACCAATAACGGAATCACAGATACTGCAGCAGTAAAATAGAATAATAGAAAATTGAAAAAAATAAAATCAAAGACTAAGCAGAAACAGATATTAACTGAAAATGGATAAAGAAATACTTTAGTTCCTTTTATACAATTTATAATACTGGATTTTGAATAACATATCAGCTTTGGTCTATAATATAAAACTTTAACAATAATCAAATAACTGCAGCAGATACTACAACAGCAAAATAAAACAGTAAAAATATTAAAAACAAAACCAGAGGCTAAGTGGAGATATTCTTTAGATTTCCCTGTTGTCTTTGATATAGATTTATTGTAGAATCATCGAAGTCTGATGCGTGATATGACAGCACTTACTTTTATAATGCAAGCTCATCTTCACATAACATTTGCAAATGATCTTATTGCCTGTATACAGGCATGGCCTCTGATACCGCTACAAAGTCGGGGAAGTCATTCGAGAATCAATGGCTGATGGGAGATACTCCACCAGGTGCCGGATTATGTAAGGTACTTATTTGCTCAGGTACGCCACATAACCACTTCCGCGTGGTACCCCTCTAAACAGCGACATTCTGTCCCTCACTATTATTGCCTTTTCATTGCTAGGAATCGCATGTTGACTAGATGTGGCGATCGATCTTATATCACTAGCATTGAAAGACTAACTATTTAGCTCTGCTTTGTTAACCATCCCTAACTCATTCCTAACGAATCCCTATCCTATCTCTCTACTCATCTGCGTCTCCAAAAATACACTTACGAATCACCTTAACACGAGTCCAATGTCCGAGAACATAGTTCCCCCAAAAGGAAAATGGCCGGTTGATCCCCAGGACGATTTACCCATCTCAGAAGATCGTATATGGGTGGATGGTTGTTTTGACTTCAGTCACCACGGTGAGAGGCTGTAACGTCTCCTTGGTACCGTGTTCCCGAAAGCTGAGTTTCGTAGGACATGCGGGTGCCATGCTACAGGCCCGTAGGCTAGGCAGAGAACTTTATGTTGGTGTACACTCCGATGAGGCCATCCTAGAGAATAAAGGCCCAACAGTGATGAAATTGGAGGAGAGGTAAGTTAATTCTTGCATTGGTTCATTGTAGAACTTGACTGATCATGACCTAGAGTAGCTGCAGTGGAAGCATGCCGATGGGTAACTCGCTGCGTGCCCTCGGCTCCCTACGTGACTTTCCTGCCCTGGGTGTCACATTATGGATGCAAGTATGTCGTGCATGGCGATGACATAACCTCTGACAGCAACGGCGATGACTGTTATCGTTACGTGAAGGCTGCAGGCCGTTTCCGAGTGGTCAAGCGAACGCCGGGAATATCCACAACTGATCTTGTAGGACGCATGCTTCTCTGTACTAAGGGGCATTTCGTTAGAAGTGTGAAGGAGACGATTACTGGGAAAGAAGGCTCCGGTAGCGAGGAGGAACGCGCACAATCTGGTGAGAATCTGCTGCAGAGAATTCGCGACTACGCAACCGATGAGAGCGGTCTACAGCCAGGACCCTGTGTCTGGATCTGGAATGGTTCCACCTCAGCGAAGCTTGGAAATACGAGTGAAGAGTCGGGATCATTTGAGCAGATCGTCACAGGAAAGCTACCCAAGCCAGGACAACGTATTGTGTATGTTGACGGAGGCTTTGATCTGTTTTCTTCCGGTCATATTGAATTTTTGCGCCAGGTCATTGAGTTAGAAAGACTTGAGGGCCACCGTCAGCATTGGTATGATCCTAAGACAAGGGAAAAGAGAATCCAGGAATATGGTGAAGATTACGAGCCGGCATTTGTTGTTGCCGGCATTCATGATGATGACGTCATAAACCATTGGAAAGGGCTCAACTATCCCATCATGAACATCTTCGAGCGTGGACTATGTGTCCTTCAGTGTCGAGTGAGTTTAAAGCCCACCTACTTCATAGGGTCCGTAAATCCGGGAACTATCTTGCTAATTCTCCTCTAGTACGTCCATGCCGTCGTCTTCTCTGCTCCCTTTTCCCCAAGCCAGTCGTATTTGGAAGCAATGCCTCTAGGTGCGCCAGATGCAGTTTATCATGGCCCCACCACGTTCATACCCCTCACCTACGATCCTTATGTCGCTCCGAAGAAGATGGGTATATTCAAGGAATCTCCGAGTCATCCCTACCAGCATGTCAATGCTGGGGAAATTGTCGACAGGATTTTGAAGAGCAAAGAGGCGTACGAGGCGAGACAACGTGCCAAAGTTGAGAAAGGAATTGTTGAGGATTTAGCGAAATCGAGGGAGGTAAGTAGGGTGTGAGCCGCGGGTGGCATCCACCAAGGCTCATCCCGGATGGTGGATCAATGTCGATAGTCGGACGATGAGCAATTAGAGATGAGAAGAATATTGGACGTAGCTTTGAAGTCCCAACTTAGAGATTGTTGGTTTGTTGTGATGTTATGCACATATCTGGAAACACAGGGGGAATGTATCGAAGGTACCTCCCCACGCTGAACAGCCCTTCAGGGTTTCAACTTCTTGAAGATTGTGAAGTTGCAGCAATAGAAAATCAGCTTTAGGGTTCCGATGTTCTTTTGGGTGAGACGAGGTGGACGAACAATCTGCCGGGTTGGATTGGGGTGCTAAGCCAGAGCGCAAGGCAATGTACATACAATATGGATGATAATTTGGTCATGGTTAGTCGGCTGCCACCAGTACTCCCTTTTCTTCCAGCATTTTAGCAAGCTCCCCATTCTGATGCATAGACATCAGAATATCGCAGCCACCAATGAATTCCTTTTCAAGGTATAGTTGGGGGATCGTGGGCCAATCGGAATATTCCTTGATACCTGCAAAGTTGAAATTGGGATAAAATTAGCTGACTGCACTTGCTAATTGGGCAGGCATCCACCTAGCCAGTCTTCAGAACATACCTTGACGCAACTCTGGGTCCTCTAAAACATTAAAGGCAACAAACTTCTTGGGATCAACGCCTTGCAATCCCAGAATTTGTATGCTGGCCCGGGAAAACCCGCACTGAGGAGTCTCCGGAGTACCCTTCATAAAGAGAACAACTGGGGCAGACGCGACAGCCTTATCAATCGCTGTCCGAGTTTCAGATGACAAGAGACGGACATTGAGAATGAATGACAAAGGTGAGCCTCGCGAGCGAAGTTGGATTGAAGACGGCCGGGAGAGAAGCCGGGATGCCTGAAGATGCAATCTTTCTGTGAGCTTGGTGAGATGATAGAGTCAGAGCATTGTTGGGACCCACCGAGGAAGGTAGGATGCGAGAGAACATGATGGTTTCGAGATATTATTTGCACACTTGCTTCAGTCGAGAATAGTTGGAAGAAAGTCTACGGATTTTGCGGAGAACTTCTGCACCGGTCCGTTAGCTAAGCATGCTCACTAACCAGCTCACAAGCCAACTCCGGTACGAATTGTTAGGTTAATAGAACCAATCAACTTTGAGTAGATGACAAGCAACGACGATCATGGGATACGTAGCCAATCAAGATCATGTGATCTGGCAGATCCACTGTCCTTAAGGACTAAGTAGGTGCAAGGTCATTTGAAACGGCTCAAGTCTATCCCCAATTTCGCACTTTCTCGAACAAAAATCCATTGGACTCTCACTTCATGGAATATTCTTCGCCACCACTGAGCGCGCAAACACACTTCCACGATGAGAAGATACACATAATTCTCGCGGCCAGCGGATCGGTCGCTACAATCAAATTGCCGAATATCGCTCAAGCGCTTAGTCGTCACCACAATGTGTCTATTCGTATTATCGTCACCAAGTCAGCGGAGCGCTTTTTAGATGGACAGAGCCTGGAACAGCCTTCATTAGAAGCTCTGCGAGCAGTCCCAGGTGTTGAGGCTATTTACAGAGATGAAGATGAGTGGAAGAATCCCTGGACTCGTGGCGAACCGATACTCCACATAGAACTTAGGAAGTGGGCGCATTTATTGCTTGTTGCGCCCCTCTCGGCTAACACCATGGCTAAGATGACCATGGGGATGGCCGACAACCTTCTACTCTCGGTGATAAGAGCATGGGATACGACCGGGATGGTGGATGGCAACTTGAAGACTAAGAAGCCGCTTATCTTTGTTGCTCCAGCAATGAACACGGCAATGTGGAATCATCCCATCACTGGCAAACAGATTGAGATTTTAGAGAAGGAATGGGGTGTGAATAATTCAAGCAAGGATGGCTGGGTTTCCGTTCTTCGGCCCATGGAGAAGCACCTTGCTTGTGGCGACTCTGGCAATGGTGCCATGATGGATTGGGAGGCTATAGTCTGTGCCGTGGAGCAGTATATCGGTGTTCAAACACGAAGGCGTTCGAAAATTACAGGGTGAGTTGGTCAATAAAGCCTGCAAAGGTACGGCTCATTCTCTGAATTTCCTTAGCAATGCGACTCTGTAGCTTCATGATAGAAGCCAGTGGATTGCGCGATATATTCCAGGAGTAGCCCCACAGTGATACCGCCGCCAGTAAAGAGACAGCCATTTTTGAACCACCACCAGCAGTCCTGTACATTCTTTAGCTGAACTTTCCAAATCATCGCAGCAAGGGAAAGAGCTGCGCTGCCGCAGCTGCCGACAAAGAAAATAGGTCCACTACCAGCCACGACGCCAGCTGCAGCAAGCAGCGATATTTGGACCCCTGCCAATGCACCGAGGACAGCTTTTGTATTTTTCTCATGACGAAGAGCAATTGACTTGATGCCGGCCGCTACATCATCTTTTATGTCCATATGTGCATATATCATATCGTATAGAATTGTCCAGGCGACGCAACTAGAATAGAGAGCAGCAGCTGCTTCCAGGGCAGGAGTATTGTGAAGGAGGTCAATACCCAGTGCTGGGAAACCCATAATCGCACCCCACGAGAATGTAAGGCCAAGCACAGCTTGCGGGTAGTATGTGATACGCTTAGCGAGGGGATAGGTGGCCACCAAAAGCAGGCTAGGTATACCATACCAGAGGCATTGGGTTGGAAACTGAAGCAAGACACCCAGCCCTGCCAGGAGTTGAACGCCAGTAAAAGCGACTGCTTTGCTAGGGGAGATTGCCCCTCTCGCGATAGGTCGAAACTTGGTTCTTGCAACGTGCGGATCCAGATTCCGGTCCCATAGATCGTTGATCGCACACCCAGCACCTCGCATGATCAAGGCACCGGCGAGAAATAGACCGGCAGTTCCAGCAACCTCGAATGGGCCAGTGGAAGTCGTCATGGATGCAGCAAGAAGGGTGGAATATAGACAAGGGAAGAAAAGATAGTATGTGCCTGTAGGTTTATCAAGGCGCAACAACTCCGCGTATGGAATCCATGACCGTGGAAGAGAGGCTATGAAGCCCTTTTCCGGTGGTCTGTAGTGATCCACCGAGCTCGAACTTGCGCGACTCTGCGAGGTAGAAACGCCTGAGTCTTTGAGCCTGCACGTGTCATAATTTGATCTTCGACGGGATTCCAGAAAGACATTGGTCGCTGCTGGGCTATTCTGGGGCAATGAGGAAGAGCGAGAGCCATGGTAGAAAGCGGATGGAAGTGGTTGGTGAAGAGAGGTGGCTCGCCCCGCGAAGCATCGACGCATTTGATTCAGATAGCGCAGGGGTAAGCAAGACAATGGCATATTTGCGATTGCAGTCATTATCGGGAAATTTGAGAACAAAATAGATGGCTGTTATCAGTCAGTCATAACAGGAATTTGACTCTGGCACAAATCCGCTCGATCAAGACACGGAATCAAGGAGATGCAAAGGGAGGGAGACGGAAGGGTAAACAAGGTTGGCTGGTTGGGTCCTCGTCCCTGAGTTCATCGCCTGGGTGTGTAAGTTGATAATTCCGGCAACAAATTCAAGCAAGCCTAGAGAGAAGTCCATTCCGCTCGGTCCGCTCCGTACATCAGTCATCCTCCCGCGCGTGCAGTACGACGCGCTTGTTATCTTCTTTTTGCTCTTCGTCATCTGCAACAGCCTTTGCCCATTCTTTCTATAGTTACACGAAGAGGGTCCACTTCTGCTGCATCCACGTGTGATCAAAAAGGGTAGGACCTCTTGAGCTCTGTTCATTTGTGCTGGAGCTGAATTGAGCCATACTTCTCGTCCGTAACACCAGACCTTGCATCTTTGCTATTTTTTAAAAAAATAAAAATAAAAAAAAACATGCTTTAAGCACTTGGTGAATATGCGACTTGTCTACCTATGCCACCAACATCTTCATTTCCAGTTTCTTCCTTTCCCTCCCTGAATAGTTGAGACCCAAATCAACATATCCCGATCGTCTTTCAGAATGCCCGCACAGCGTCCTCGCGCGGCTTTTGAACCGCTTTCCCCAGACCTAGACCTAGAGGCTTTAGTGGAATCGACACCGAACTTCGAGTTTGTTACCAGGATTCACTGCGATGCTATCGATCAGAATGACTTGGATGATTTTGAGAAACTTGTTGCACTTCAGGTTGTTCGATTGGGCAGACCGTTGGTCATTGAGGGTTTTGAGAAAAGGCTGAATCATACCCTTTTCTCCGAGAAGTGGCTCAGGGGCCATTATTCTGCAAAGAGTGAGTAAGCCTGGTTGCTCAGGAGTCTTGAAATCCCAGCTGACAACATGTGTCGTGTCAAGCGGAATATGCGCGGAATTTAAGTACAAAGACCGACTTGCCTCTGACGATAGGACATTATCTTAAAAATATGCCGCTTCTTACTGATCAATGGACACCATACAACTACAAAGACACTGATCGGCAGCGGATATATCTGAAAGATATTGATTGCCCCCCCGAATGGCATGATGAATTGAAAGAAGTCATACCGTCGCCGGTCTTTTATCTCAACAAGGCTCACTCGAACGCTCCGGTGGCCAGAGCTGGTGATTTGATGAGCTGTCTTCCTCTAAACGCACGTGCAGAGAATCTTATGTGCTACATCGGCCATGAGGGAACCTATACACCAGCCCATCAAGAGATGTGTGGCAGCCTCGGCCAGAATATAATGGTTGAAGCATCTGATGGTTCAGCTGAATATGGAAAAGATACTAAGCAAGGATCTTCTATCTGGTTCATGACGGAGAGCAAGGACCGCCGTGCTGTCTCGAATTACTGGATGTCCACGCTTGGTCATGACATTGACATCGAGGACCATTTCGCACAGATAAACGCTTGGAAAGCAGCCCCATTCAAAACATACGTCGTCGAACAGAGACCAGGAGATTTCATTCTTATACCGCCTCTAGCAGCACATCAGGTGTGGAACCGCGGAACGAGGACAATGAAGGTTGCTTGGAATCGGACCACCGTGGAAACCTTGGACAAGGCCTTACATGAAGCTCTACCTCACGCAAGAATGGTTTGCCGGGATGAACAATATAAAAACAAGTCCATCGTGTTCTACTCGCTCGAACACTACTCCGCCGTACTTAAAAAAGCCCAGAAATCCGATATAAATCGCCCGACCTACAAGAAACTGATCAAGGATTTCCAGCAGCTCTTCAATTTGTACAACGAGGTACTTCTTTCTGAATGCTTCGGCAGCAAGTTACCCGGACAAGATGTCGAGTTTATTCCTTATGATAGCAATATCACATGCTCCTACTGTCGAGGAAATATCTTTAACAGGTTCCTCACTTGTCCGAATTGCGTTACTCCATCTATTTCGGATGAGGACGACGCGTACGACATTTGCATGGAATGTTATGCGATGGGTCGAAGCTGTCTTTGCATATCAGCCCTCAAATGGGCTGAGCAATTCGATTGGAACGAACTCGAAGCGAAGCATGAGGCTTGGAGGCAACAACTCCTCAAAGCCAAGTCAGAACTTGAGCAGACATACTTGCCTTTGGATACACAAAGAGAGCGACTGAACAAAAGGACGCTGGCTGAAATTTGCCAAAAAGAGCTAAGTAGGCGGCCTTGGGTCGATATCAGCAAACCAATCGTCCAGTCAGAACCTATGGAAGGGAAAGATAGTGACACGGAGGAGATCGTCTCTGCACGCAAAAGACGAAAAATGTCTCGGGGAGATCAAACAGAGAAGGTTGGTCGGTGTCACATTTGCAGGTATCTTGAACCACTGTGGAAACTTGCCTCATGCACACATTGTGGCAAGTACTATTGTTATGGAAGTCTCTATAGGGCTTTCAACATGCTTCCGCAACAGACAATGGAGGTTCTGGATTGGAAATGCCCTAAATGCAATAAAATTTGCAGTTGTGCTGCCTGTCGCCGGGATCCGACGATGCGCCCTTTCGAGCCCACATGCATGTTACTCGGCCATGACACCCGGAAAATTGCGGATCCGCGTAGCGTGGAAAGTCTTGTAGACTTCCGGCATTCGAATCTACGCTGGTTAAAGAAGGCTGCGGAAGATGAGACCGATGGACCGAAGGAGCATCAGCCTCAGCATCACCAGAATGAGGATGAACAGCACAATCAGCTGGCACCTGGGCAGGGCATCCAACTAGACGAGTCCTCTACAGTCCCAGAATCTTCGACAGACTATGAAGGCATTCTGGTAGATCCTGCTCTGGAGAGATTGCTGCTACCTGAGGGTGGAATGTCTACACCGTCCGGTAATCGGTTAATATGAATTTATGAGCGGACATGAGAACTTTCACATGTAGGATACATTGGTAGCAAGTTGGGTTCTGATATTGGTCATTCAAGCGAGTGGTATTCGTTTCTTTCAAGCCGATTTGTTGATAACGCGAAAAAGACAACTATTATGCTTCTCAAGCTTGCAATAAGAAACAGACATCAGTGCCATGCTTGCCTAGTGGATGCGCTCGTAGGTGTTGCCTCTTGGTCGGCCAGCCAGGAATGCTTCCTCATTCTCGAAACAATAGGTTTAGCGGGGCGCATTAGGCCCCTTTATAATTGTATCGAAGAGTCTCAAGATCCTTGATGTCAACGGACGACATGACCCTGCTCGCGACCCAGACAGTCGCTAACATTGCTAGGTAGAATGAGCGACACCAGTCTTGACTAGGTACGGGAAATCTGGCGAAGTACTAACCTCCAGGAACCGAGGATGTAATCAGCTCGGTGCTGAACCACGATTCTTTGGATGTGAATACAAAGTGGATCAGCACTAAGGATACGCAGCTCGCTGCATTGACGAGTGGAAGAAGTTGCCGGGCTTGGGTGTGGCCATTCGAGTCCACCATGCGTCTTTTGCCCTTGCTATCGTGACGTCGATGCGGTAGATACCTCATGATGTGGGCGGTTGCCAACAAAGACAGTACACTCACAAGGGCTACGCACCGGTCAATAGTGGCAGACGAACTGGAGAGCAGTGGGAGAAGATAAATGGCCGCGGACAAGAGGGGGATGGCGGCGAAGATAATCTAAACCATGATTGACCATGTTGTTTAGCGGTGTCCGCCACGCTTCGACTTGCCATGATTAGGAAGGGAACCTCATTACACTATATTCAGAGTTTCGCTTGTCGTTCAGTAGTTTGAGGGTCTGGATTACGCACTCTTGCTCTGCAGGTCTATTAGTGAAATTTAAGCGTCGCAAGCTGTAAGCCAGCCTTCCTCGCTGGCCAATCGATCACACAGACCTTCTTCATCCAACTCTTCGCGAGCATACTCATCATCTCCCAGATCATCTGGATAGCGGAACGCGCGCCGAAGCCTGGCAGCCGCCATCATTTCTCAGAGTTCGGAAGACCCAGTTATGAGAGGGAAACTCGAGACACCTTCAATGGGCTACAGAGTTATCCGGCGACTCAGTGAGGTCGGGGCCAGGCTCACTTCTGATGTGTTGCTTGAAATACAGTACATCACACAACTAACCGGCTTAATGTTTCGGTATAGTACTTTACCTATCTAGTACGGTGTACAGTACGGAGGATAGTCGATCGCTATCCAATGATTGGCACCGACTGTAATTCTTACGCTACTGGAACTAAGCCCTCCCCAGTAGGCGGTAAGCCATGTGATTCCCCGTATAATCATGTACAGTACATACCAATTTTAATATAGACCCTCATAATCCTAATGAAAAGAATGAAAGAAAAAGACTCCCTAATAAAGGGCCCTACTAGTAATGCCTTCGGCTTCTGAAAACCCCAGTAATCCCTAATGTGAGACGATTTTTACCGTGGACTTGTCTTTTCGAATATCAATGCCGGTAGCAATAGAAATTCAACCGGTGTCAAATAGCCATCATCTGTACGGAGTAAACTGTTTGCTCCGTTTGCTAAGCTTGCGACTTTTGGGCCCGCTGTCCAAAACTCCCGAGGCCAAACACCCTCTCGCGGTTATCTCAGAACTCTTTACGCCTCCCAACCCTAGGCCTGTCGATGAAATAAAAGACTACATTTATCTGGCGGGATTTTTACTGTCTTGAGAATGTTGTTACCCACTGCAAGACGGCGCATTGGCGTCCCACAACTGCCTGGCGCTCGTCGCCGAGCTCTTCCTCCTCGTCGCAGCTTGATCCCTGCCCCGCGCTCCAATTCGGGCCCTCTCATGGAGCGTCGAGCAGATCGAGAATTGCCGTCTGTCAACAGCGAGAGCCGCTGGCTCCGCACACTGCCACTCTTCGCGGTTGTTGTGGGCGCGGCTATGCTGGGTATATTCAATTATCAGAAGTCATCTTCAAGCGTGGTCAGCAGCACACTGTATGCCCTGAGGACCTCGCCGAGAGCCCGTGAGATTTTAGGGAATGAGATCTACTTCGCCCAAAAAATCCCATGGATCAGTGGTGAAATGAATCAGCTACATGGACGCATTGACATCTCATTTTGGGTCAAGGGAACCAAAGGGCAAGGCAAGATGAGGTTTCGGAGTATTAGACCCAACCGCATGAGCTATGTGCGTCCCCCAACTAAGACCTCTTTCCCCTCGAATGGCAAATGTAACTTTAGCTAACCAGCAATTGCATCAGTTTTGCACAGAAGAATGGAGCCTGGAAACAGAAGACGGAACAGTGGTGCAACTCCTTGACAGTGATATCGACCCGTTTCGGCACAGCAACTAGGGAAATAATGCTGAGGTTGTGGCGTACATTGTATTTTCTGTGTGGTACACGGTGTCTGGGAATCTTTATTTGTAGATATTTTGAGATCCATGTGCATTGTGCTCAGGCGTTCGGTCATTGGAGGGCTTCTCTGTTCTTTCCTTCGCCACTCTTTCGGATTTCGACATAGAGGTTCATAGCACGGCAGGAACGATATGGAAGCAGCAGTTTTGAGTGGATGAAAGAGATCTGATCTGATATGGATATCATTTACATGTCAAATAAAAATGTCGCTCTATGGAGGAAAAAATAGTATGGTGTTATGGTACATCTCACGGATGAAAGAACGGTGAGGGAGATTGGCAATCGAAAGTTGGGCGGAGGGAGAATGCTTTCGAATTGGTTATCAAGATGATTTAGAGACCAGCTTGACTTTCGGCCAAGGCTTTTTCAAAGCATCCTGTATTCTGACAACGCAACCTTTGGGGCCACTGATGGAACCTAGAGTACAGAGATACACAATGATCAGTATTCGATGTCGCCCTACATTCACTCAACTGCAGGTCGAAAGGCCTGCCGGGGACGGCTGGTATGTGACTTACCATTAACCACGACAATTCCACTCTTCTGATCCACTTGAAGTATCTTAAGATTCTGCACTGTGTTCTGCTCATTTCCCATATTTCCCGCCATCTTCTTGCCGGGGTAAACACGGGAGCCACCGCCCTGACTGGGACCTGCGGAACCAAGCGAACGGTGCGTCAAACTGACACCGTGACTGCGATCTTGACCTCCAAAACCATGTCTCTTCATCACACCGGCAAACCCCTTTCCCTTGGAGTTTGATCGCGCATCAACATACTGGCCCACCTTGAACCAGTCGGCGTTGACCAATTTTCCGACAGGCAAGAGGCCTCTCTCATCCTTCACCCGGAACTCGTATATGTGGCGCTTCGGCGAGATCCCGTTGGCAGAGAAGTGACCCAATAGCGATTTGGTCAGGTTGGCAGGCCTCCTCCAGCCAGCGCCCATCTGGACGGCAAAGTAACCATGCTTCTCTAGCGTCTTGTGCGAAACAACCTCAACTCGATCTAGTTGGAGGACGGTGCAAGCGATACGTTTCCCGGATGTCGCGTCGTACAGACCGGTCATTCCTTTCTTGATCGCAATCGCACCAGTGCGCAGGGGAAGCGTGTTAGCCTTGCGCTCCAAGGCCGCCGTGGGAGTCGACTTCAAAACAGGTAGACCCGGACCGATATCGAAGCGGGAGGTCTTCGGGGGGTTCAATGAGCGGATACCGAAAGTGCGAACGGGGACATGACCATGGACGGCGGAACGAGGGCTCCGGATGGAGCGAAAGGGAATATGAGCCAGCTGCCCGAAAAGACGAGGCGACATGGCGAAGCTTAGCCAACCAACGGGAAGAGCGGGAGCAGGGGCTTGTGGTGGTATCGCGAAGCCGTGATATGGAGGAGGCCGTCGTCCTTTTTCCCAGCCGAGATTTCTGGAAGGCTTGCGGAGACAACCTCGAAGGCGGTGAGTAGCCCCGGCGGCCTGGCTGCGCCAGGCAGAGAGATGCTCCGGTACTGAACAACTCTCGCCAGTTCGTCGGAGTAATTACCGAGTACTCCGTACTTGGGCATACATTCAAATTACCATACATACAGAGCCTCTTCATGCAAAAATCCTGGCGGCCAAGTCGGTCAAACACCTGGTGGGCTGGCATCGGAGGCCGGATGCACCGGCACGCCGATAAACCGGGATAGATTGCTTATAGTAGCGAATAAATATCAACTACGTACCTCGATAGTTTCTCACTATCTGCGCCCGGAACGTCATCAGACAGCAATCTTCAATTCCGCTTTTTTTTTTCTAGGACGCCTAGCCTGCTGCGCGCCTAGTCACCTCATTCTGAAGATGCAGCCACGTCGTCCTTTCCTGTCAAGTTTGCTCTTTCAGCTTCCCGGCATAGCCAGAGGAAATTTGGCTATCCCGAAAACATCATCTGCAACGAATTCTATTGCCTTCACTCGCGCCTTTCGATCCTCCGCAACGCACACGTCAATTCTCCAGCGGCGGGCGATCTTCCCTCAATGGAAGCAGGCTCACGGTACTACTAGCGGCACCATACTTCCTAATTTTTACCGACTTCAACAACCATTCCGCCGGTTCTTCCAGTCGTCCCGCGCAAGACACGCGGCGCAAACACCAAAACCAGGCGCTTCACTGTCGCAGCGGTTGCGTAACCTGTCGAAAGAGTATGGCTGGTCCGCCTTGTGGGTGTATTTGCTATTGTCGGCCATGGACTTTCCGATTTGTTTCGCCGCTGTTCGTCTGCTGGGCGTAGAGCGAATCGGCTACTATGAGCACGTCATTTTTGAGTCTGTCAAGGGAGCGGTGGATGCTGTCTGGCCGAGCAAGCAGGGTGCCAATGCAGACTCGGAACAGGACAAGAGCTTGACAACCAACACGGATACTCGGGAAGGTGCGGCACAGGCGCAAGGTAACGGCGAAAATGCTAGTAAGTGTCTTATGTTAAGCCCTTCACTCATTCAGGCTTTGGCAGTGACTAACTGCCATGGCTTTTCCAGGTCTATGGACACAACTTGCACTTGCCTACGCGATTCACAAGAGTCTCATCTTTATTCGAGTACCCTTGACAGCAGCCATTACCCCTAAAGTTGTCAAAGCTCTGCGACAGTGGGGTTATGATATTGTCAAAGGCAGACCGAGGGGCATGTAAGATCCTGCGATTTCTTGTGAACATCAGTCGGACTGGCGGATACACACAAGCATCCGCCGTTTTCTTTGCTGCATAGCGTTCGGTCATGCTAGATATGACATGATAGATAATTGTACACTATCTGGTATATTTAATTATTTGGGACAGAAGATTCCACGCCTCAAACATTGAGCAATCAACATTCGCGTCAGAACCTAGCCACCAACGAAAGTTGACTCAGAGATGTGAATGAGAAGGCACCATAGGCGATGGGTTTCATGCAGACAACCACAACAAATAAGGCAGAGAAAGAAATGTCAACGTGTACAAATCATCAGAAGCGGCGACACACAGATCTGAATACATGAAGACATGAAGATGGCAAGGAGATCATAATCTGCCGCTGCCCGTGTTTGTCTCGAAATGGGTTCATCCTTAACGACGATAAGTGAACGAGATGCAAGGTTGCATGGGGAAGGCGGCCAAGGATGCCAGAAGTCGATTACCAGTTCACATATCAATTGTATCATTGAACCTTAGGATGCCGTTGGCTTTCATGACACCGTTGACACCGTCTGGCATGCGATATGCCCAATCCGCCACACCCACAGGATCGGTAGTTTGCAAGACGTCCATTCTGTCAGGTTGGTTGGCATCGTCCGAAGTATCTGCCACCAACACGAGGCCAAGTTCCTTTATTGTATCCACCAAGGCGGGCACAACGTTCTACAGACAACGAGTTTTAGTCCCTGGCGTGAAAAGTCGACCCAAATGGTTGGGGAGGCAAGCACATGACAAGACAAATACATACCAGTAGGCTAGACCGACATATTAATCCCATGAAGTTGTTGCTCTGCGCTATTCGGGCGGAATCCTTAATGGACATCGAAGCTCGTCCGCTGCTGTTAACATCAGGAAGTGCGTTGACATCACGAGCTAAGTCCCGAATCTGACCAAGGTCATTGCAGAGTAGAACAGGGTCTTAAAAAGCGAGCTACATCAGCGTACTTCTCAGGAGAGATTAAGAAGGAATTGAGAGCCTGACTCACAGTTGGGCTGCTTCCAGTTTAAGGCAATGCAGATATTGGGATTGTAAGAGGTGAAGACCACAGAACGCATGATATCAGGGCTCTGGTCGCGCGCGATTCGAGCGTGGTCAAAAACTTCTGTGAGAATAGCATCCGCAAAAGTATTAACGTCCGGCAGGGAGGCCATATGTGATGCACGCTCCTCCATCGCCGACGGGTATAGCACGGATAAATTGACGCTGACGCTGAGCGGTAAATGATGGAAAACGTCTCGCAAAGACAGAAATGAGGAAGCTAGCTGACGATGAGCTTGGGCTAAGTCGTTCAAAGCAGACACCCGTAAAAACCGGAGCATTTCGAGATGATCCACACCGCATTCGACGCCGATTGCTCGAAACTGGGCGTAGGTAAGCTGACAGATTGGTATCTCAATGCCATGATACTCGATCGCGAACTGGGGGTAAAGAACAGGGACCCGGTCTCGGGTCAACTGCACAAAGAGCTGAATGTGATCACCGGACAAACTAGAGCCTGTGACGAGACCATTGTGTTCATGATCAACAGCACTAGTCGCCTTCCAATACGTTGCGAAGTGGGTAATCTCTAGCGGGTCGCCGTGGTATGGTTTGATTACTTGAAAGTTGAACCGCAGTTGACCAATAGATCGTAGCCTGGGGTCAAATAGTGGTAGGGAACATGTACCAGTGCTGGAGCTTTCCGCTTTGAACATATTGGGAAGCGCTACCGTCTTCGCAATCACTTTAGACCCGAAAGTAGGGAAAATTTCGAAATCAACGGCGAAGGTGTCAAGGTTGTCAACATGGAAGGATATCATTCTCGAGTCTTCCTGTATAGGGAGCATTATGGTCCGTGGAATCAGATCGGAGAGCTTGGAGGATATGGTCAGGCGTGCAGCAGGATGCCGACCTGCTTGATCGAACAGAATCGAGCCAGTGCTCCCTGGGTCAAACAAGATCTGAACGAAAACCTTTTTATCCAGGAAGTTGTGACCATATCGTCTCAGGGGTATGATTGGTGGCGGGAGGGACAGATCAGGGATGCCATCCGCCATATCCATGTTATCCGCATCTGTCAAATCATTCATACCAGAAGCATAATCATGACCCGAGTCCTGCAGCTTCACGCCGTTCAGAAACCCAAGAGGCTTTTGCGGAGACTGTAAAGTAATGCTATGGGACCAAAGCAGAAGCATACACTCCAAATGGCCCTCCCACGCGGCGTAGTACATTGCGGCAAGACATTTCTCATCCACAGCACCGGCATCAACGCCCAGTTCCAGAAGCGTACGTAAACAACCCACACAGCCCTCGCTGGCTGCATGAAATAGAGGTGTCCATTGGTACAGTTTATCACGTTGGTCCATGTTAGCTCCGTGTTGTTTGAGGAGAAGGAGCAGTTGCGGGGACTGGGAAGCTCGTGCCACCATGTGTTGGGGGTACAAGCCCTCTGCATCGGGAAGCAGCCTCGCATCGCGTTCTAACAGCATTTGAACGATTGGAATTGATCCATACTGACAGGCGAGATTCAGGGGGATATGATCCGACTCGGAATTTGGGTCGATGCGGGCATTGTTGCAAAGCAGTTGCTCCGCGCAGGCCAGCTGATCCTTAACAATGCTGTGAATCAAGGGCGTGAAATTGTCATGGTCCATCACATCAATTGTATGAGGTCCAGCCTTCAGCAGTTCCCGTACCATCTCTACCCGACCATGCATACAGGCGTAGTGTAGAGGCAATCTACCGTAGACATCACATCTGGAAATATCGACTCCTGCTGTTAGTCCTGCCTTGAGAACAAATTCCCGACCGGAAATGGCTGCTTCGTGCAGGCAGTTGCGTTCATTGATATCATCTTCAGCATTTATGTCAACCAGGCCACTTTCCAGGAGCACTGCAAGCACTTCGTCAGAGAATTCATTGATGGCGGCGAGGAAGGTGCGAGTGGCACGAATTGAAGCGTCCGGGGATGATTGTAACTTTGCTGTCCATTCACGTAGCGCCTGAAGGTTCCCTGAACTGGCTGATTGCAGGATTTGTAGATCGAGATCTTCCTCATCTGGCCCGAACGATTGCGAGGCTGCACTCCTATCCACTGGACGAATGGTATCAAAATGAATATTTTCGCCTTCCGCCCATGCTTCTAGCTCCAGCCGTGCTGTTGTTGCTCGGTCCGACAGATCTCGCAAAACGTCTCTATTGAAGCATGGCTGTACTTCAACAGCTCGGTGAAGATATAATTCTTTCATGCGAGACTAGAAATTCCGCACATGTAAGCAAAAGCATGGTAGTACAAGGCTGAATGAGCGACTGCGCCACGACGGAGAAAGGAACTTAAAGAAAGATCAGGTTGTTCAGACCTTGGAAGTTTTATCCCACTATGACTACATGGTTAGCTGATTTAATCGCAGATGGGCGCAGTTTCCAGTTGGAGACGCACCTTCTTCAGAATTTTCGACATTGCCGTCTCGTTGATTTCAACAAATTGCTTCGAAAGATTGACGATTTGTCAGAATAAATCATGTGCAGCCGCAATGCCAAGTCAAAGCTCACTTGTAATTTATTGAGATCACCATCGAATTGCTGAAACCCCTCGAACAGCGAGACATAATTTGCGGGCGCTTTGGAGTT